GTGGAGATGGTCCGTCGCATCCCGTCTCCCCACCTGCCCTTTTGGCGTCCTGGCTGTCACACCCATGAACTGCCTCCCGGTAATATTTAAGCACATCACCAGCCTTGATCCAGAGACTCACAAATGAATCTCAAAATGGATTATCTCTACAGTAACCTTTCTAGATCCCAATCATTTACATATTTAGAATTCCAGGAACATGTGGCCTCTTTTGCAGCCGCACAACCTCTCATGATATTCGTAACAAGCAGTAGAAAATAAATTATCTAGAATCTGCCTGTGGCAGGCAGGCTTGAACAGTGGTGGGAAAATTTGAAATAATGGTGGTGAGAAGGTGTAATGGTAGTGGAACTGGTGTTGAAATATTGAACGTAATCAATTATGTGAACAACCTTATGAAAATAAAATTTAAAAATTAAAAAGAATAATACTTATCTTCATCAATAGAGCAATGTGAACATCTGAACATTTGAACATGTGAACATTTATCTCCTCTAATTTCTATATACTCCAAACTAAATTATCAAAAAATACAGTTTATTTTCCGAAGTCTAAGAAATCACCTTGGCAAAGCTAAAATGATCACATTTTAATGGAAATCATCTATCATTTAAAAAATTATTCTCCCTAATCACATCTATGGATTAACTTTTCCTGCATACTGTATTCATTTATCCTTAATGTTGTGGAATGCATCCTTTTTCCTAATCTCATGATTATAGCCTAAGTATTGACACTTAAATCTGAATTTCATATGATAGAGCAGGGTTCTTCCTTTTTATACCTGTGGGCCTCCACCTGTCCTGCCTCCCAGTCCAGTGGCTGACAGTTATAACCAAGTCCAGTGGTTTGCAACCATTCCACACCCACAGATTGGCATTGGTCTGTGAGAAGTGATCAAAGAGCACTACTCAAGGGGGTCTTATCTAACCATTGTTGCAACACCAGATACTGAAATTATATCCAATTCTCTTTCCATTCAGTGCTCACATTCCTCAGAAAGGCCAAAAGAATTTTTCAGCAGCATTATTTCTAAAGATGCTCACTGGGGCCTCCTCCATTCAGAACATTCCCCCAGCCTCCCACCACTCCATCACTAGGAACTGTGCATTTCAGAATATCTGCCAGTTGCCCAATTCATTCATTTCCATGGCTGTCCATTGTTGTTGGACGAAATACAGAATTTAAATCTGTTCACAATTCTGGTGGCCATCACAACCCATCTCAGAAGACAACTGGAAGTGGAAAGAAGGCTATTCACAGTAAGACTACAATTATGGACAAAACCCATATTCCCCAGGGCAAACGAGGAATTACAGATGTCCTACGAAAAGGGTCCCACTGTCCAGTTCTGAAATCTAGTGTCTTTCTTCTCACAAGCTATTATTCAGTCATAATAACAGAACCACCTCCAACTTGACAAATTATTGTGAAATAGAACTTCACATTAAACATACACACTTCACCTGATCTACAATACTTAATTTTAATATCCATCTCCAATTTATTCCTTGGCCCCTCTTTTGATGACCTAGAACTTAACCTTGAGATCTCAACTTACATGCCACTCCTCTGGAATTTTTCTTAACCCTCTCCTCCCCATGCTCAAGCTTGGACTTTAGAAATACTTCAGTATGTCCCATGTATTTCCAAGTATTCTTGGCCCAACAGTTCTTCTGCCAACTGCATTAGCCTTCATTTTTCTTGTATAACTTATATATAAGGGCCCTGGCACACGTAAAAGGGAGCAAAGAATAGATATGTAAGAATGAATGAAGATCTGATTTCAGTGACATTTAGAAATTGCCAAGTGTTTTAAATCTTTTCAAAAAGTTGAACTATCTGTGGAATACATTTATCTCCTTCCCATAATAACATATTTAGTTGTATATGTCCATGAATATATTATCTTAGAGTATAACTGGTTTCTTTGCTGTATTGTGAATTAAATATTTCTAAAGTAATTGCAATCTTAAAGCAAAAAAAACTACTTCCATTAAATACAGTGTTAAAAGACAGTGTTAAAATTAATGCTAAGGAATTACATTTTTCATACTGTAACTGTCCATTCAGTGACTGTCATGTACCTTTAATACCCTGCTGTATCTTGCTCTGGCTTACAACAACAACAAAATAAGTGAATAGTTTTTTTCCAAAACAAAGAGGAATGGCTGATCATATTCTTAAGTAGTCCAAAACTTACTCGGGGTTGATCCTTCTTAAGTACTTACCTTTAAAATCTTTCAAAATAATGGCAGTTATTATAAAAGATTTCAAAATGATAGAAATGATCAGTATTGATGACTCCTTAGAAAATTAAAAAGACAATTTCTCTACGACTCAGTGATCCCTCTTCTCAGGCACTGATCCCAATACTGAACTATTGATCTGCATGGATATTATGACACCTGTTTACTGTAGAACTATTGTTCACAACAGACAAGGTCTAGAAATAATACATGTGCCCAACAAGAGACTGGTGAACAATAAATTTGCAGTGTGTACACACACACACAGCGGAATACTACCCAGTTGTGGGGAAAACGTAAATCATGTAGTCTGCCAAACCTGCATAGAAATGGAGGGAATGTGGCTAAATTGAGCAAAAAGAAAAATTCAAATACTAGATGATCCAATTCATATGTGGAGAATAAAGAAACAAAGCACGGGGTTAGACTGTCTCTAAAGGAAATAAACCCAGAGATACCTTCTACAGAATAATCAACTGAGGGTGCAAGGGGCATGACAGGGATGGAGGTGGGGGGATGACTGGACTTTAAAATAATGATGGAGGTTGGGGTTTCCCGACACTGGAGTTGGTGAAGTATAATTGCAAATACAAAGCAGCAATGTGGAACTTTTGTAAACCATGTTTTCTTAATAAGAAAAAAGAGATCTATATGACAAGTAAAGCAATATTAATGGGTAAATGCCAGATCAAAAAGGGAAGAAGAATAATTTCTTCAAGATAACTAGAAATTACCACTGACATCTGCAACCTTCTGTGCCTAGAATATTATGTACTTCCTATTTATTCTTTCCTGAATATACATCTTTCATGATGCCTTTTAAATACAATGCTATTCAAGTATAAAAAGTTGAATTGTTAATCTGAGATATTTTTGCCATAAAGATTAGTATTCAACTATAATATGTATCAATGCTATTCAAGTATAAAAAGTTGAATTGTTAATCTGAGATATTTTTGCCATAAAGATTAGTATTCAACTATAATATGTATCCATGGTACTGCAAAATATCTAGAGCCATACCCTCCTCTCAAGCGATACACTTTGGTATATATAATCTCAAAGAGCCTTGAATGAAAAAATAAAATCACGTTAGTTGTTATTGTTGGAAATATTCCCCTTCAAATTCCAATACTCACACTAACATTCTCTCTCAAAAGATGTTAACAAGCTCCTAAGTAATCTCACTGTGCCCTTTTCATGCAGAATCTCAGACCCAAATTCATGATATTTTCAGAGAATTCACTGGCTATGAATTTTTTTTAATCTAGGCTCTTAAATTTCATGCACTGTTTCTTATTATCAAGCAACTTTTCTCCATAAATCTGATCCCCAACCTTATAGAACTAAAATATAGTCAATCTCCTATCACTACAAATCAATTATCTTTTATAGCATTATAGTCATGTTACTATGTTTATAATAATTAGAAAGTACAGTTCATGCAAACTTTTACTTTATTTTTATTTAGTACCGTATTTTTTAAGTGTCATGGTTATAATATATATATATATATATATATATATATATATGGTTCCAAAGATTTTTTTTCAAGAAAGGTAGAACAGCTTTAACATCTAGCATCTAGGAAATTTTCATTCAAGCTTACAGAGAAAATATTAGTGTCAATTCCAAAATGTATTATGTTAAAGGTCTGAGTACATCAATGACTTCTATATTAAAAGTCTGAGATTTTTTTTTTCTTTTTTGGGTCACACCCAGCGATGCACAGGGGTTACTCCTCACTCTGCAGTAAGGAATTACTCCTGGCGTTGCTCAGGGGACCATTTGGGATGCTAGGAATTGAATCCGGGTTGGCTGCATGCAAGGCAAATGCCCTACCTGCTGTGCTATTGCTCCAGCCCCTAGTCTGAGATTTTTGAAATGTTTTCTTGACTCACAGCATTTGGAGGAAAGTAAGTATAATATCTGGGAGGAAATCAGCAGGAGGGTTGAAATTTGCCTACCAATATGCCATTAATTTATTGTTTGTAAAATGGTGTGGCAAACTCGGCAGAGTCTGGCAAACTCCCCATGGCGTACCCAATATGCCAGTAACAATGATGGGTCTCATTCTCCTAAAGAGCCTTGAATATAATCTCAGGGCTAGGATGAAGGAGACGTTACTGGGGCCTGCTCGAGGCAATCGACGAATAACAGGATGATTTGTGATTTGTTGTGTGAAAATGGTGTGACAGATTTAATTGGAGGAAAAGGGGAGAAAGTAGTCAGGAGGGGAAGCAGAATGCTGGAATGATCCCAGGGCAGGAGCAGGGAACGTTTTGCCAAGGGCCATTGGCTATAACATCATTTGTAGGCTCCAGGATATAGGCAGGACTTCGGACAGTTGACAAGAACTGTACATGTCTCTCCAAGCATGCACCAGGACCAGATCAGATGATTCCATATACCTCAGAAACAGATATTTGTTGAATACATCAGAATACTATCACTGGCTAGTTAAAATGAACCTCCACATAACCCACTATTACTCGGAACTTCCTGTAGGAGGAAAATGATCTTGACTCTACATTAGACTTGACCATTTAAATTCTGAATTTAACAATTTGTACTTTATTGCAGAGTTATCTAAAGCTCAACTCTATCCCTTACAGGAATCTGGGCTATTTAAATCCTATGCATTATGTGAAAATGCATTTACTTGAAAACTATTGCTCAAAGCAAAATTCATCTAGTAGCTCTCAGTAGTGCTTCTGGAAGGTATTTATTACAGGTGTAACATGTCCTCACCTTCACGTTGGGTTTTGAGAGAAGTTTCAACAGCTCTCTGATCTCACTGTTTGATGGCTTGCTCTGAAGTTCTTCGGCCAGCTGCAAAGGAGATCATATTGACGTAAGGAACATTTAGTAAGGGCATCAGTGCAGCTCTGTGTTTGACAACAGAGAAGCTTTCCCATGATTAAGCAGACTTCAGCATGAAAGAAAACACACTACTAATCACTGCGCTTCTTCTAAGGCCCCAATCACCCACATCCCAACACAGGCCTTCAGCTGAGCACAACTCAAGGGTTCCTATCAGCCATATCACTCCCTGATTTATTGCAAGGATCTCAAATCCCAGCACTTCATTTATGGAATGGTCTCTTGCATGCAGACAAAGGACTGCTTGTGTAAAGGACAGGATCAAGGTTTGACATGGGGGGGGGGGGGGTGAGGAGAGTGAGGAGGGGGTAGGAGAGAGAGGAGGAGGGAGGAAGAGGAGGGATGGGAGAGAGAGGGAGAGAGAGAAGGAGGGAGCTTCTGAATGAGGTGGTGAAATCCACAGGGTTTCCGAAAACCCACAGTAGCTTGTTGCTTAGAGCTGAGAGAGAAAGAACTATACAATGCCTCTAGTAGAGCAAATGGGCTGAAACTTCTCTGCTTACCTACAGAGACGAGCTGTCTTCTAAATGTAAACCACACTTGTCACAAAATGACTTATGGTAGGCTGACAACTACTCTAGCATCAAAAATACCCACCATCTCTATTACAATGATCAAGAATCCCCACTCGGTGGTTCTGGAAAAAGGACTGGGATTTCAAACCCATCTCACTCTTCAATAAGTGATTTTTCTAAGAAAAAATGAAACTAATTGAAAAAAGGAGGGGCTGGAGAGACAGTAAAGTAGGTAGTGTGCTTGCCTGTCATGTGGTTAATCCAGGTTTGCTCCTCAGCGCTCCACATGCCCCCAGCCCAGCCCCAGCACCCACACCCCTCCCCCCAATCCCCCACCACGGAAGTGATCTCTGAAAGCAGAGACAGGAGTAAGCCCTGCACATCTCTGGGTATGGCACAAAAACAAAAAGCAGGGGAAAAAAAAGACAAAAACACAGAAATAAAAGGACTAAGATTATGGGTATATGCAGCACAAAATTTAAAATACATTTAATATCTAATTTAAATGTCACACGGAATTTCCATTTGCCCCTATTTCTATGACGCTAAAAATAACTGTGTCTGAAATAAGACTTCTCTCTAAAAAAAAAAAATACACAGGAGCTGTATTATGTAAGTTACACACAAATCATCAAATTAATAGAACTGGTAATGTTTCATAAAGTGCTTTTGCTTTTTCAAAGTAGTATTTTTACTATCTTCAAGGCCATAAAACTTCAACTTCCAAAAGAATGCAACTTTAGCAACTTGATATATAATAATATTTCTAAACAAATACATTGATTCTGAGGATTTTTAAAATGCTATGTTCTGTCATTATTTGGGGCCATACCTAGCTGTGCTCACGGGTTAGAGTCCGAGCTCCGTGTTTGGGGGTCACTCTGGAGATGTTTGGGGAACCATGCGGTACTGGAGATTGGCCCAGAGCCTCCTGCATGCTGAGTATGTGCTCAGCCCAGTGAGCTGGCCCTAAATGCCTAGTTTTGCTTTGTTTTTTAAAGCAATGTTAGGCCAGAGAGGTAGTGCAGGGGTAAGGGGGCTTGCCTTGCACATGGCTGGATGAATTCCTTGCACCATATATGGTCCCCCCAGTATTGCCAGGCATGACCCCCTTAGAGCAGAGCTAAGAGTATAAGCACTGCTCAGTGGAGGGGGGGAAGCCCAAAAATTAAATAAAAATTACAAATCAATGTTTAGTTGAAACAAGCAATATAAACTGTTGTGTGCCTGCTAAGGGGACAAGCTTAGTGGCTGGTTGGAAAATAGGGACAATGGTGGAGGGAAGGTCACTCTGGTGGTGAGACCGTGTTGGAACATCAAAAGCCTATAACAACTGGAGTATGAACTACTTTGTAAACCACGGTGTTTAAAGAATTTAAAAAAAACTTTTTTTTCTTCACACTAAAGGAGGGATGGGTACTTGATCATTGTACGACTAAAACATAATCACGAAAGTTTGTAAGTCTGTATCTCACGATGATTCACTAAAAAATAAATAAAAAATTTTTAAAAAACATACTAATGTAAGTCTAAACTACTTAAAAATATTTCTAAGTACTTCAGTGATTTCATCATGACTAAGAAATCTTGAGGATAAAACTTTCATAATTTTACTCCAGCCTGTCATTTTCTGGGATATCAGCATTTGTGTAAAAAAAAAATAATAATAATGTTTGGACCTTTATCACATTGGTTTAAAATAAATAGATCCTCACGCCCTCCACGATAAAATGATTTTAAAGAATGTCTCAGGCTTATTTGGGGGGGTTGGAGGCATAATGGTCAGTGTCAGGCCTTCCTCCTTGTTCTCTGCCCAGGGCTCACTCTTGGCAGGCCCAGGGACCATATGGGGTGATGGGGATTGATCCCAGGTTCTCTGTGTATGCAAGGCAAGCACCCTACCTGCTGTATTACTGACCCAGCCTAAGACTTGGGCTTTAAATGCAATTTATTAGAACAATTTCTACACTTTTCCTTTCGAATGTTTTGGTTTTATAATACGGAGTTAAATTTCCTTATGAAACATGTCCATTAAAATATCCTTGCATTCTCTATAGATAAAAACAGGAGGGAAATTGTGAACTAACCTAGTGGCACATAATTTAGAGCTTTTAAAATACATATCATTTATTTTCTAAATTATAATATAAAAATGACTAAAAAAATCAACTGAAGTGATCAATTTTAAAATACTTATGGTCTCAATAAGTGACTCAAGTGAATTATAGTAATAATCAGTAATATTTTTATCATATTAAAATGAAAAATTAAAAAGCAACCCCGAAAGTTCCAGTGTATCACTAAAACCAGTCCTCACACTAAACATATTTCTCGTCTAGCTTAGTGTCCTTTATAGTTTATCCAGGTGTGCTCGCAATTCATCCAAATCCAAAAGTTAACAGTAAGAAACAGCAAGTTAGTTCCCTCCCCCAGATTTAAAATAAAATTATAGCCACAGGAAATTAACTACTCCATCAATGCCAACTGCTTCTAAAATTTATTTTTTGGTTATGAAGGTAATTTGGAAAGGTCCAATATCCATAAATCATTACTATGCTTTATAATTCATTTAAAAACAACCCTGTCTTTTTATGTATTTCATATGCCTCATTCCTATACTGGTAACTGTCATTTTTTAGTACTGTCAGCAGGAGAGCTATCTCATTTGTCTTTATTTCTCCAAAGCATTCCTCTTGTCTGTGACTTTCTCAGAACACCACAGAGCTGACAGGTCCTCTCTCTCTCCCCATGGAGTTACTGCCTACTATTTCTATTACGTAGTTACCAAGTTAGAACAAGAGGGTAACTACGTGCAAAATGTGGAGAACAAGGAAGTGAATGAAAATCAGTCTCAGATCAGTGTAAGCTCAGCGATGACAGCCTGCTTGGAAACCTTTGCAGCTTCTTCTGGCTTTCCTCAAGGGCTCATATGCATCTGTCTGGACTAGGATGAGCTCTACCGCGCCCAGACCTGGGGGAGATGCACCCCGAGAGCTTAGAAAGGACACTTACGTCATCGGCCAGGGCCACAGCACCGTGGAGGAAAGGCACGGGGTTCTGCTTCTCATAGTAGTGCAGTTTTTCATGAATCTGGAGTGGGGAAAAAGAAACGAATCGAAGTTTACCAGCCGGCAAACCAACGGAGAGGTAAAGCAGTCCTATCGCTGTAAATAGACACTGGCTCATGGAACATTCTCCACAGAAGCGTGTTTCTATAAATCTCAGGATGCAGTAGTACTCACCTATGACTGTGGTCCAGTGTTTATAAGGTGAAGTCAAATGGGAAAAAACAACAACAACAACAACAAAAAAATCTGCCAATTCAGGAGAACCCGAATAAAAACAAAACCTTTGCTTTCCCACTCTAAATAAACATTAGCTTTGCCAAATCTTTCATTTCTCAAAAGTATCACTTCACTACTCAAGGAATGGGTTATAATTTATGTCCCTGTTAAACACGCATTATGATTAAAGCAAGGTGATAAGCCCCCACTTTCTGGAAGTTTGATGTGTGGCAAATCCTGAAGAGGGGGAAGCTGGCAATGGGTACCTGCCAGTGCCCGCAGCCCCCCAATTCCTCCCCGCAGGACACAGGTCCCTTTATTTATCAAGTCAACTTTCCCCTCAATTCAAATTTCTAAGAAACAAAAGGATTTCTTAGAACACTCACATAATTTTCTATATTGTAAGATAAGTAAATGTATGCCCATAAATTCGGAAATTATTTGCATCCTCATATAGCATTAGTTACATCATGACACAAAGTTCAAAAATATTTTTTAATCATTCAATGACAAATTGAAGTCCTTTTTAAAATTAGGATTATAGCTCCGACATGAAAGATGCTTGGGGTTAATACAGATCTGTCAGAATTTAAGTTCCCTCTATCTCAGTTGTGATATGGGTGCCCTTAAAAACTTACACGAAAAAGTTTTCTTTAGTCTCTTATTCACCATATAGACTGAAAAAAAAAAGTAGCAACTAACAACTTCCTGTTTTTAATAGGTATCAAGCTATACTCTCCTTAATTATATTTAAAGCTAACCAATCTCTGCTGTAAAAAGTCTGCAAGACAGATTTATTTTGATTAGCCAGATGCTATTGCTGGGAGGGGATCCCATTACCTTCTTGGCAACCTGGTACATAAAGCAAAGCATCAGGGAAGGAATTTTGACACTTATGATATTACCAGAATCATCAAAGCAACATTTTTCTTAACATCTTGGAATATTTAGACATTTATCACATTAGAGTAATAAATTTTACAGGCTACAAGATCTAGCAGGTGGGAAGATCTGATTTGAAAATGATTACAGCATAATTTAGAACAAAACCAGCTGTCCTGTGTGTTAAATTAATTTTACTTACCTAATTATCAAGAATCAGATCCCCTCATCGTATACTATCATAGAGTATGGAATTGACCCACTCGGAAAACTCATCTGAAGACTGTATATTCGGGGATCATTTCTATAGTTTGTTATTAGAGAAGTTTCTCTGATCATATTAGAGCACCCAAAACCACAAGGAGGGCTCAGAGCATTCTCTCCTGTGTGTGAAGCTGGTTTTAGGTATTGCTTTTGTCACTGCCTTTTTACCATTAATGATCGTTCTTCTCTTCCGTTGGAAGAGGGAGAGGATGCAGTCTGTTACATGCGGTTGGGGGGGGGGGGGAGGGGGGAACAACCAAAAATTCATCTGACTTGGTTGCAACTACTTGTTTAAATGTCTGCTTCCCTGAAATCATACAGTGTCTTAAACTTCCACTGCATTTATCATTGACTTCAAGGCCTACGTAATAGTTACCAACGCTATAGTAATACAGTCTCTTTAGTGAGCTCAATCTCTTGATTCCATAACCCTCGTAAGAACAGTAAGTGGTGGTTAGCACTGTCATCCCACTTGACAGATAAACAGATACACAGGAGTTAAATAACTTGCTGAAGTTCCACAAATAGCAAATGGCAGAGCTGGGATTTAAAATCCAGGCACTCTGGCTTAGCATCAGAGCCCTTAATCACAGCACTCGCCTGCTTCAGACGAACATCTCCGTCTGCATTCTTCCCTGACCTCATTCACTGCTGAATGAACATGATCTGTTTGTAGGGCCCAGGAGGGGGGCTGATAGATAGGGCAGTAATGGCTGTTTTCAACGATGACAGAATTATTGCTGTTTCCTCTCTGCACCTTGCCTTTATTTCATCTTTCCTATAGCCCCTAATTTTTCCTCAATTAATTATAACCCAAAATGAAATATCCAGAGCAAAAACAAATATATAATATCTCGCCTCTTGAAAACTTTTTTTTCCTTGGTTTTTTGTTTCTCGCCCGTGACCAGCAGTGCTCTGGGCTTCTTGCTGACTCTGTGTTCAGGATTGTTTCTGGTGCGGGAACTGAATAAGGGTCCACCATGGGCAAGTAACTGAACCCACGGCATGATCACTCCGGACTCCTGACGCAATCTTTTCTAGTGCTTTCCTCAAGTCTAAAACAGTTCACTCCTGAACTTTGTATCATATCATGAATATATATATAATATTTTTTCTTTTGCTTTTGTTTTGTTCTCAGGTCATATCTGGCAGAGACCAAGAGCTAATCCTGGTTCTGCTTATAACTCCTGTCAGTGCTCAGGGGACCATATGTTGTGCTGGAGATTTGAACAGAGATCGGTTACATGCAAGGCAGGCAAATTTCTCCGGCCCTAATATATCATGATATTTCTTAATAACCTAGAATTTTCAGATATTAGCAACCCTATGTTGACAGAGCTTGCTTCAATACATTACTTTAAACATTTAATTGACAAGGATATAAAAATTCAAACTTTCAAGATGTTCTAATTTTTTAAATTTTTTGAAATTCTTTTTATTTGTATTTATAAAACCAGTGGAAAAATTAAAAATAAAACTTAAAAATAGAATTAAAATTAAAAAATTAAAAACAGAATTTTAAATTCTAAAGTAATAATGGGTAACATGTTTATTCCTCACAAGGTTGTCTAGAACTTTCTGTGACATTGAAGATGTTCTCTATCTGCTTGTTTAATATGGTTACAGTGACCACATGTGGCTGTGTGGCTCATGTCCTTCAAGGACTAAATTTTAAGTTTCAGTTTAAATGTAAAAAAAAAAAAATCACAAATGTGGATCATGGTCGTTACCAAATATAGTTATCAATAGCCTCTAGGACTAGATTTATTAGGCATAGATAAATCTACACAACTTCATTTTAACTGGACATTTTGCTTTACAGATTTAATCATGCAAGGTAAAGGTAAAGGTAAAGGCCCTCCCGTTGATCGTCGATTTGCTCGAGCGGGCCCAGTAACGTCTCCATTGGAGACTTTGTTGTTACTGTGTCTGGCATATCGAATACTCTCGGTAGCTTGCCGGCTCTCCGAGAGGGGCGGAGGAATCGAACTCGGGTCGGCCATGTTGGCCGCTTGTAAGGCGAACGCCCTACCCGCTGTATAAAATATTTCCCCCTCTCCCCTAAACAACTTTTTAAAAAGAATGAAAATGGAAGGAGTGGAGAAAAGAAAGGTCATAAGAGTAAAGTCTGAAGAGAAAGGGGACACTCTGGTTACCTTTTCCTATTAAGGAAATATGTAGGTATTTTAAAGTATAATCCTGAAAATGAAGGCACACAAAATATTTCAAATACAGGCATGCATTCCACCACTAGTCATATCTCTGGGTCCCAAATGAACATTTTCTAAGCTTTATTAAAATAGTGTGTATGTTTGTCTTCATAGAATTTGTTATGTATCATAACATATTAATGAGAAATCATCAGGTAATGTCATTTAAAACTAAAAGTTGCCTCCTGGTGAAACTGTTTTGGAGGAGGGCTAGAGGGGCTGCCCAAATAATGCCTGGCCAGGGGCCATTCCCAGCACTCAGCTCAGCTATTCAGCCCTGACATGTTCAACATTCAGCCTGGCAGTGCTAAGGGGTCGCCAAGGCTACACCTTGGATATTGGGGGGGAAGGGCTGTGTGTGTGTGGGGGGGGAGGGTCATGTGGTGTCAGAGATTGAACTTGGAACCTACTTCACAAATACCATTGAAATGATCTTTTCTTTAAATATTTGACAGAATTTGAGTAACCAGCTGTGTCTCATATGTGATAAGTTTGTTTTGGGGACCACACCTGGCAGCGTTCAGGGCTTATTCCTGGCTCTGTGCTCAGGAATCACTTCTGGCAGGGTTCAGGGAACCATATGTGGTGGCAGAGATCAAACCGGGGTCAGACATACTATCACTCTGTCCTCTCTGTCTTCTAGATTTTGGAGGTCAACTTTATCCTTTAATTTTCTTAATTTCTTCTGATTTGCTTATCAGAAGCAGCAATTTCTGCATGTTTTTCTGTCTCTCCTAGTGTTGGTCTCAGAAAACACCATATCCTAGAAAATTACTCATTTCTATCTGGCTAAGAAAAGATCTGAATCTACTTAAGCAAAGTAGTCTCTTAGGAGTCTTTAAATTTCCCCTACTCAATATTTTAAATTACTCTTTCTCATTTGTTGTATTTTACTTTCTTTACTTTCACCCTTCACCTTGGATTTATTAATTTCACATTTTTTGCAGTATTTTTTTTATTTTTAATCTTAAATGACTCCCTTAGGCAATCCCTTAAGTCATGTGCGTATCATACAAATTATTAGAATCCAAAATAAAAAGCAAACTACTCTAACTGGAGCATTTTATATTACTATGATACTGAGGAATTATACCATATTACAGGATAACTACTGGGCAGTACTCAAACTTCTCAATATTAATTCTTAAAACATTGACTAAGGACTCATCCCAAGAGAAAGATAATCAATTTGAAAACAAAGTATGCCAAGATATAAGTGCTTCAAACCCTAAGAGCATAGAGTAATTCCATTTAGAAAGCAAAGTGGGTAAAGAGAGAGAATATATACTAAAGGGGGAAATTTCAGTGCATCTTTTCAAACAAACTAAAATATTATTTGTCCCTTTTCATTTACTACACATGAGGTGAATGGCTGCCGAGGAAGAAAGGTTTCTGTCAGTTTGATGTAAGCCATTACTTTAGTGCTAACTTCAGAAAACAGTTCCTAGAATGAGGTTATCACCTCCCATCTAAGAGAATGATCTATATCAAAAAGGTCAGAAATAGAAGCTGGCAGGGGTGGGGGGTGGGGAGGAGATGTGGGTTTCGGGGTACAGAGCCCTGCGCGTTGCTGGTGGGAATGGCAAGTGGTTGAGCCTTTCTGAAGAACAGTATGAATGTTTCTCTAAATAGTAAGACAAGATTGACAGTGTGACCTGGCAATTTCATTCCTGGGAACCTCTGGCAACAGAACACCAACCTGAAAAGATACCCATCTTGGGACTGGAGTGATAGCACAGTGGGTAGGGCATTTGCCTTGCACTCGGCCAACCCAGGTTTGATTCCCAGAATGCCCAGGTCATCTTTTCCTCATGGTCTCAGAGACGAGACCTAGCGGCTCTCCAACATCACTTCTCCTGCCTGACCTTTGGCTGTGGCTGGTAAGTGCTGTGGGCCAAGGGCTATATCTCCTAACAGGAGTCCGCCTATCCTCCCCCAGACCTAGCCCAGAGCCTGGGATTCAGCGTGAGACACGAAATGCATGTTTATGAAACTGGGTTGCTTCTTCCACACACTCTCCTTCTACCAGCTGGGGAAGATCATGGCAATGCCTCAAAAGACAGCTAAGCCATCAAAGAAAAGGAACCCAGGTCCTCAAAAGACTTTCTGGAGGAAAGTCTCCTAAAACTCTCCAAATTACTGCTAAGTAGAAAACCTCTACTGGGCCTTAACCATTACAGATTTGGACTATTTGTCTAAGTTGTTCACCCTACTTTAAATAATGCAGTGGCCTCCAGAAAAAAAATATAAATTTCTCTTAACATAGTCAGATATACCTACATTTTCCATTTATTTTTAAATCTATACTTAACACTTTAAGTCTGGAAAGACAGTTCAATGGTTCCCAGAGCACCACCAGGTGCAACTTCTGAGCATCACGAGTCTGACTAAAAACCCAAAAACCCCCAAGCCCTAAACTCTTAACCCTTAACTTTTCCAGTGGCTTTTAAGGTCAGCTGGCTAGCCAGCCATAACTCAGGAAAAAATCCAGTTAGTGTGTCTGAATCTCACCTCTGCCTTCCGGGAACTTCCCTGAAAATTGAAAACTATCTTTTCCAATTAATTTTAAATTAACATAAATCCCCAGTCAGAGTTTGGTGATTTATGTCTTTTCTTTTTTAATGACCATATTTTTATTCCTGAAGCTGAACTATGATTATTTGAACAAATAGTTCTTTTCCTTGTTCTCAGTGTTTCTATTCTAATGACTGTGGTCGTCTTCTGTGTCTTGCATAATCTTAAACAAATCCATAGACTATAAGATTTTTTTTTTATTAAATATAGTACTTAGGTTGAAGTGTGTGTTATTTGCTGTGCCTGATTATAGCTGAAGGTAGATTTTCACCAATGCTTTTTTAATGAGTAGATGTGAAGTCAACCTTCTGTGGGGTTTCCATGAGGGAATCCTAGGGATGGTAGACTTTTTCAAAAATAAGAGGATGTGGATATGTGATGATGATAATGATGCAGCTGCTTGAAATACCAGGTGCTTTGCAATTTCAGTTTAGAACTCCCAGCTG